ATGTTCTCCTGCTTGTTTTACTTTAAAAATGTTTAGAAAGTTCTTTTGTGCCCACTGCAGAAGGCATAGTGAGTCCTCCTGCTCTTTTAAATAGTCCAAGCACACAGTATGCCCAAATTACTTTGTCTTTTTTTTTTTAAATGACCACTAGAGTGCAAAGGGGACTTTTCATTATTTTTAAACACATTTTTAATTAAACCTAATTTTTATTTAGCCACACCAGTTGAAGAACCACTGCATTAAAAGAAGTTTAAAATGATTAAATTAGCCTTTTATGGCTATTCCCTTTCTTTCCCTTTATCTGTTAACTAGGGGGAAGATTTCTGTGACATTTCACATATTCTGTGCAACTTAAATTTGAACCCATAAGCAACTTCAGACATGTTTATGAGTAATCTGGCCTTTCTCTTTAGATTACTCATAAACATGTTCAAACCCACCCATAAGCTCAAACATGGGTTGCAGAGATGTTTTGACACATCATAGAAATCCTCACCCTACTGTTCACTATGCAATAAAGACATAAACTCTAATCTACTGAAATTACTTAAACTCTTCATTAGGCTAGCTGGTATAAAAATGAGGCACAGGGAGCTCTAAGATTTTGGCTAAATCTTGTTGTAGCCATGCCGTTTGCAGTTAAATTCAAGCAACATCAATTCAAATAAACAGTTTTATTTTTCCAACAGTTTCTTAAATATTTACTGCTGGTAATAGAGGGGAACTCTGGAATATCCAAAGGGAAGTACTGTATGTGCCTGTAAGCACTTGGGTTTATTTCTTGAAACAGGAAGCTACTTTTAAAGCTGCCCTGAAGTTCAAAACTAGTTACCATCCCATTGGGATAGGCTAGTATTTGCCAGACAAAAAAGTTCACCTGGAGTTTTCAATTTGCACATTTTGATTTCACTTTTTTTTTGGTAAGAGAATGAAGACATGTAAAATGCTTTAAATGACTTGAGGAAGAAGGTAGCCTCTGTTATGCTGCTAACATTGTCTTGTTAACAGAATCTGTTCTAAAAAATGCTGGGCAAAATTTTCTGGTGAGCCCCTCTCTATACATGTACCAGTTTGTTTTCTGCCATGTCAACCATAGTGAAAAGAGAAATGATCCTTTTGCAAAATTGTTTTGTCTTAACGGTCACTCAAGTGAGCAAGACATGAATTCTCAGTGACAAGTCAGACATTTCTGAAAGATATAGCAAGAAGTTACCAATAATTGTGTTCTTCTTTCAATCAAGGGGTAATGCCCCTTTGCTAAATACGATGAGCAAGCAATAGCTTTCATTGTATTTGCAAAGGCTTTCAAGGCCGGGATCTAATGGTTGTTGTGGATTTTTCGTTAGGAAGAACAACCTTCAGAACATGGCCAAAAAGCCCGAAAAACCCACAACAACCAATAGCTTCCATTCTCTCTCTCTCTCTCTCTCTCTCTCTCTGGAGTTTAAATCCCAATTCCCCCCACCTTTTTACTTATCAATTGCTATACTCAGTAACACATCTTTATGGTATGTCATGATTTACATAGTTTTTCAATACCCACAACAACCAATAGCTTCCATTCTCTCTCTCTCTCTCTCTCTCTCTCTCTCTCTCTCTCTCTCTCTCTCTCTTTTTTTTTTAAGGAAACTAGGCTGTATTTCAGGTGTTGGAATTTAAATCCCAATTCCCCCCACCATTTTACTTATCAATTGTTATACTCAGTAACACATCTTTATGGTATGTCATGATTTACATAGTTTTTCAATTATCCTTTTATATTTTTAATCTTAGCTTTGTTAGACCTCTTTCATTTTATGAACTGTGTTGGTAAATGATGATGTGTTCCATGAAAACACAAATAATTTTTTTCTTTAGAATAGAGAAATATTTTCCTAAAGTTTAATAGTGTATTGTTATACAGGACTCAAAAAAGCTATCAATATGGACATACTCATTATGAGTAAAAATATTATTTTGTTAAATAGAGAAGAATATTAAAAATTAAGTTGACAAATAAAGATCTTGTTCATACATTGATGGCCATTCATGCTCTTTAATGGTCTAATGTAACATGTTACTATACTTTGAAAAACAACATCTTAACTCTTTATGAATAGTTTTAAAACTATGCATAGAACTGTGAGATGAGGTGTGACTGTAAATTTATAATGAGTTTGGCTGGTCCAAATATGTGTTCAATAAAGATTCATGTAGGAGAGGTAACTAGACTCCATCGCTTCTTGTTTTTATATTTTAAAAGCATGTTTAAATAATTTTCACAACTGCTGCTGACCAGTTCTGAAACTGAAACTCCAGAGATGTTAATTACTGTATAGGCTTCATTTTCGTGTTCAGAAACATGAACACCTGTCCTCTCTCTCTCTCTCTCTCTCTCACACACACACACACACACACACTTTTGTTACATGAAAGTAGCAAAAATCCTGTTGCTTCTTTGTCACCAGTATGTGAAGGACACCCAAACTCTATCTATTTTTGCAGCCTAAATCCAAGGGAGCTCTTTTGGGTCTAGATCAGTGCCTAGTGTCAGTAATGGACTGGATTAGGATGAATAAATGGAAACTTAATCCAGACGAGACAGAGGTGCTCCTGGTCAGTCAAAAGACAGATCAAGGAACAGGGATGCAGCTTGTGCTGGATGGATTTGCACTCTCTCTAAAGACACAGAGGCACAGCTTGGTGGTGCTCCTGGATTCATCTCCGAGGCTAGATGCCCAGTTTTGGTGGCGGCCAGGAGTACCTTTGTACAGTTAATCCAGTGTGCCAGCTGTGCTCATTCCTGGAGAATTCTGATCTGGCCATGGTCGCACATGCCTTAGTTACATCTGGATTATTATAACAAACTCTACATAGGGCTGCCTCTGGAATATGTTCAGAAACTTCAGCAGATCCAAAATGCAGCAGCCAGATTGCTAATTGGGGCTGGTCACAGGGATCACATAACTACTCTATTATGGCAGTTCCACTGGCTGCCAATCCATTTCAGGGCACAATTCAAAGTACTGGTTCTAACCTATAAAGCCCTAGATGGCTTGGGTCCAGACTATCTCAAGGACACATCTCCCATTATGAGCCTGCCTGGTGAGGCCTTTCTGTCAATCTTGCCACTTTCACAGGTGCATTTGGTGGAAAAATGGGAGAGGGCCTTCTCTGTTGCTGCTCCCAGACTTTGGAACTCCCTCCCACAGGAGGCCAGACTGGCCCCATCTTTGCTGTCCTTCAAGTAGGCAATGACCTTTCTCTTCAGGAAAGCTTTCTCTTAATGCCTGACTGGGTTCTTAAATGGATTGTTGTGCCTTACTGCTTTGAGAGGGTTTTGACGTTGCTGCTGTTCACCACCTTTTATTGACATACTTGTTTGATCCTTTTTAGTATATGTATACATTATTTTTAATTTTAAATAATGTCTTTTAATGATGTAAGCCACCTTGGGTCCTTCGTAAGGAAAAAGGTGGGATAAAAATATTTTAAATAAATGAAGTAGTAAATTGCACTGGAGTTGGCACATTGAATCAATGGAGGTGGTGAGTCACCTCCTCCATAAGCTGCATTGATTTCAATGGGCCTACTCCACTTGCAACATACTTTAGCATTGTAATTCACAACTAGAGTGGCCCCATTTGTACCACTGCAACCTATGGAGGACTTGTTTAGAGGCAGTAAGCCTCTAAGGAAGACCTGCTTATTTTGTACCTTTTTGCAGGCGATTAGAGCCACCTTAAGAAAAAATAAGTCACCAGTCTGGCTGTTCCATTTTTGTTCTGTAATGATGCAAATAGCATGCAATCAAATATCTGTAACACAAAATTTCAAAATATTTGTCATGTTCTTTCTCTTTGCAGGTACAAATGCTGAACCACCATCTTGCAATGCCAATTCTATTAGTTGTCCATCTGCTTGCACTTGTAGCAACAATATTGTGGACTGCCGAGGAAAGGGATTAACTGAAATTCCAGCCAACCTGCCAGAAAATATTGTGGAAATGTAAGTCTCACCTAAGCTGTCTATGATCTGTAATGCTATACTTGAGCCAAATAAGGGAGATGTAATGTGCAGATCGTTCTTGAATTATTGGACTCTTTGTTGGTAGCAACGCCCGTTTAACAACAGCTAATTCTGAAACCTAACTTCTCTTCTTTCCTTTATAACTTCCATGGGCAAAATCTAGTTTTTCCACCATGCATTTGGGTGTTTGGGACGATGATACATCAATAAACTAGCAAATTATGATTGTACCTCAAAACTAATACAGCAAATATGGAATACATTTGTGCCCTTCCCTGTTTTGTTGTTGTTGTTGTTTGTATCAGTGTATTGAAAAAAAGAAAAGAAGGGTTATTGCTGGGTCGTACTAAAGACCCAACTGATTCAGCATTGTCTTCTCCCAGTGACTGACCAAAGATTTGTGAGAAGCCTACAAGCAGGATGCAAGCACAACAGATCTTGTACCCACCAACTTGCTTACTGAGCCACCACAACTGATGGATTTATCCCTAGATATTTATCAAATCCCCTTTTGAAGTAATTCATGCTAGTGGCCAACAACTTTGCGACATCTCATGGTAACAAAATATGGTTGAACAGTGAGCTGTGTAAAGCTCTTCCTGAATCTCTTACTACTGTTTAGCTTCATTGGATGACTTCTTGTGTTCCGAAATTAGGAGAGAAGATGAAATATTTCTTCCTGTCTATTTTCTCCATACCATGGATAATTTTATATATCCCTATCATATCTCCGCTTCATTCATCTTTTTTCCTGACCCGAAAAGGTCCAGATGCTGCAGTTGTTTCACCTTGTTGCTAAATTCTGGCTGCCCTTTTCTCCACCTAATCCAGCTTTACAATATTCCTTTTGAGGTGCAGTGACCAGAACAGTAACATAGAATTCCAATAGAATAAATTGTCCCCTTCCCACACTCACGCTTGAAGAACATAAAATATTTGTGGAATCATTTCTTTATTGACTTTTTATATATCAAAAGGGTGAATTTCAAGTGATATTTCTCTGTAAGTGGAGTTCTGCAGATGGTTGCACATTGTAACTGCTGTTTTTAGCAGAGTGACAGAAAACAGAGGAAAGCGCTCTGTCCTATTCTCTCCTTACAATTAAACACACTTAAGAATATATGTTTATTTAGCTTTTTATGCAGCAGGGTGAAAGATTTGTAACTCAGTCATTAGATATTGAGGATCAGAGCTGCAAAATAATTGGCTACTAATAATGGGTTGTCTGCAAGGTTCCCACTAACCTGAGCATGTGTGGAGGTGCACACCGCTCTGCTTCCCTCCGCGCAGCTGGCTTCCTCCTCTGCGCAGCAATTGCATTAGGTTCCAGTTGCGACGGAACCCAGCTCATGGGGGGGGCGGAGTTGCACATGCACTCAAGGGCGAAGAGAGAGAGAGGCAGAGCGGCGGGGCTGAAAATTAGAGGCTACGTTGGTTGCTGGTAATCCTTTCCAGAGTTTTAGACCTGTTTGTTGAACCAAAAAGAACAAGGAGTGTTAAAACCAAGAGGACCCTAAGTAACTGATTTTTAATTTCAGCACAAATGGGTTTTTAAAAGAGTTCTTTTAAATGTGCTATGACAGTACCTATTTTGAAGTGAAACCGGAAACTATAACTGTAACTAGTTACCTTTAAAGGTCACTTTACAAGCTCTGTTCAGGGTGATGTTTACACTGGTAAATCTCAGGTATTTCCGATTGTATTGCTCCAGGCTGTCATCTGTGGTCTTCAAAGACTGATAAAGAAATGTGGAAACTGAAAACAGTTTGTTGGTTTTTAAAATAGTGTGTGACTGCCATGAGCTTTTTAAAAAAAGGCGAGAACTACTATAATAATAAGTAAATAGCAAATACATGCATTCATGTAGACTGTTTGGTGGCTCAGATATAAAATACTGTTCTCCCGCTTAATCTAAAAGATCTCTTCCACCTATACAGCAGAGCCTTAATTTTCTCCTTAATGGAAAGATAACTCGTTTGCAGACAAGGTCACACTGTATGCTGTGAGATGGGCAAAGCAGAGGGATACGTTTGTAAACAAATAGCAGTAGTTGCTATTGGAAATGCTCCCACATTTTCTATGGCTCATCTCTTAAAATATGCTTTACCACTTGTCATTGCTAGCTTCATTTGTTACTGCAGTCTGACTGTGTGCATCTATTGTGAGACTATAGAGATGAGTATGAAATGATAGTTACTTTGCTTTTTTGGTATTTGAAAGAGTTGCCACAAGGTATCAGTTCTTGAATCCCCTTTGTTAGCAACTTTAGTAATCGTGGTCCTGAATCTAGTTTTATATTGACAAAAAGCATTTTGTTTGGTTCAGTTTTAGTAATAGTCATTAAATCAGTAGGGCTTACATTATGACTATCAAGTCGCACTGATTTCCACACGATTTATTCTGAGTGTGACAGTTTGAATCCAACTGATTGTTAGATCACACCAGTCTGTAATACCACTTTTGAGTGTGTCTTTCTGTTGCCTTGGGAAAACAGCCGTTCCTTCTTTTTTGTGTGTGTTCCAATAAAATTAATCATTTGAGTCTTTATTTAAAGATGTTTATAAGCTACCCGTGAGATGAAGGAGATATCTGAGAGTATCTGAAAACATGCAATTAAAAACCTATTAAACTTAATTTAAATAAAATCTAACTATAAGACTAAAAGCAACCAAATACAAACATTAATCATGCACTATAAAAATTTCCATCAAACAATCCCATAAAACCCTCAAGGCTACAAAGACAGGGTTAGATGTACCCCATCTGGCTAGTAGATCCATAAGCATGGTAACAGTAGCAAAACAAAAAGTTATCTTATTTGCAGCTCTCAGTCTGATATGTTGGCAATGACAGCCAAATAGGAGGGTCCTCAGCAGATGACAGGATGTGGGCAAGTAGGCATAAGTGGAGGTAGTGTCTCAGAGAACTTGATGGCTTTACTGTTTAACACATGCTGTAAGTCGGGTTCATAAACACAGTGGCATCCAGGGCAGCTGTTTCAGTATAGGGATCATCTGACTGAAAGCTTTGCATCACCATCAGAACTCAGGCAGCATCAGCTGAAGTTTTCCGAACCATCTTTAAAGGCAGCTGCTTTTAGGGCACATCACAGTAATCCAGAGTGGATGTCACTGGTGCACAGATATGCAGCAAGGTCTTCCCCTCTCTGGATGCCATGACAAAACTTTAGAAAAAGCTTCTGAGCTCCACATGAACCTGAATGTCTACAGTTTAAGATTCCAAAATGCCAACCACAGACCAAATCAAAGGGCATTCCTCTGTGAGTTTATGGGAGGTGGGTGTGGTGTTTTGTGCAAAATTTTATTGCACAAAAGTTAGACTCTTTGGAAACATTTCCGTGATATGTGCCTGAAAACCTGCCAGTGGGCTTGGATGTACAAGATTGTTTAAAGTGCTGCATTTCTTTGAAATGCCTTGTGTTCATGTTCCGCTATGCAGAACGTAGTTTTAGCAGACCCAAACTCATCGATAAACCTGTGGAATGGCTTGAACACCAGCCCATGTCCAAGAGATTCAGGTCATGCTGTTATAACAGCAAGGATCTGTGCAGTTTTGAGCCTTAAACAAGCTCATGTGGAAATATTTATCACTTGTTGCTGAAATGCAATCCAGAACAATTTTATTTTATCACTATATTAATTACAAAATCTCATAAATATTAAGAATCCATTCACCTAAAACACCAGCGTTATATGCCATTTAAACTGGAAAAGATATGCTGTCTAGGCTGGCATCCCCAAGGAATAATATCTTTCTGCAGCCAGAGGAAATGAACAATTTGTTCTGGACATAGAACTGTTAAATCTCTTCTCAATTATGAGTTGCTTCAGGAGTATAATAACTTTTCCTAAAATGGCATACCTCTGCCACAGCCTCACTGATTACTAAGGCCTTTCTAAGTAGTCTAGATTCCAGGATTTGGAAAGGAACTGAATGCTGTGGAACTCGCTGTTAATCCATCTAACATTGTTTCTTTGATCAGACACTTCTCCAGGCCTTGTAGCCATTGGATGCGCAGTGTGTGGCTGAGCACTCAATTGTTCACTCACTGCTGTTGTTTTCATGTTAAAATTGCTTTGTTCGTACCTCTTTGGAAAGGCAGATGAGAAATACTAGAAATGAGTAAAACTCAATTAAACTGGAGGTGCCCCTATATGGAGAACAAACATTGATTAATTGCTAATGTAAAATCTTTCATTGATTTCAGATGGTTTCTTTAAACTCTTATCCCTTTGTGTACAGTGGTGCCTCGCTTAACGATTGCCTCGTTAAATGACGAAACCGCTTGACAATGAAGTTTTTGCGATTGCTTTTGCGATCACAAAACGATGTTCCTATGGGGAAAATTTGCTTAACGATGATCGGTTCCCTGCTTTGGGTACCAATTTTTCACTAAACGATCATTCTGAAACAGCTGATTGGCGGTTCTAAAATGGCCACCCGCTGTGCAAAATGGCTCCCCGCTGTGTTTTCAGGACAGATTCCCCGCTTTACAGGCACCAAAAATGGCCACCTCTGTGGAGGATCTTCGCTGGACGGTGAGTTTTCAGCCCATTGGAACGCATTGAACCGGTTTCAATGGGCTTTTTCATTTCGCTTCACGAGGATTTCGCTTAACAGCGATTTGAACGGAACGAATTATCCTTGTCAAGCGAGGCACCACTGTAGTTAGAAGTGTCCCAAATATTCTTCATCTTGTGGAGAATGGGATATATGCAGAAAACAATACTGGCACACAAAAGGTGCTGAATTCAATCCTCATCATTCCCAAATTGGATTTTTTTTAAAAAAAATGCAGTACTGTATTAGATATTGCAGAGGCCATTGCCACTCAGTATAAGTACTACTGAGCTTGATGCATCAGTGGTCTGGTCCAATAGACGGCATCTATGAACCTAGCCAAGCAGAAACAGAGTTCAGTCTCAACTGTGAAATTATCCTCAGTTCTTCGCAGAAAA